AATACAAAAAATTAGCTGGGCATGGTGGTGCGTGCCTGTAATCCCAGCTACTCAAGAGGCTGAGGCAGGAGAATTGCCCGAACCCAGGAGGCGGATGTTGCGGTGAGCCGAGATTGCGCCATTGCACTCCAGCCTGGGTAACATGAGTGAAACCCCGTCTCAAAAAAAAAAAATAAAATAAATAAATAAGTTTGACTTGCATTTTATCTTAACCACTAGACCATTCCCTCTGTAGCTCAGAAGAGAACCCCTCCGCCCCATTTGCTATAAGTATTCTAGAATCTGTGCTCTCACTGCAGTTTCCTTTGGGTTCCATGTTTTCCTTGTTCCCTCCCATGTGTAACTGGATTGCAGAGTTAAGTTTATGATTATGAAATAAAGACTAAATAACAACAACAACAACAAAAATAACTCATAGATCTAAATGGAAATGTAAAATGTAAAATATCTAGAATAAAATATAACAACAAATTTTGCTAACCTTGGTTATGCAAAAAATTTCTAGATACACACTAAAAATATGATCTATGAAAGTGACTGAAAAATTATACTCAATTGAAGTTAAGAATCTGCTCTTCAACAGACACTGTTAAGCAAATGAAGATATAAACTGCAGACTGGGCAAACATATGCACAAATCATATACTTGACAAAAAACTTTTGTCCAAAGAATATAAAAGAATCTCAAAACTTAATAATATAAAACAAATCCAATAAAAATATCAGAGAAGTATTTCAACAAGCAGTCCACCAAAGGGGATAATATATAGATGGTAAATAAATACATGAAGATCTATTATACATTGTTGGTCATTAGGGAAATGTATATTAAAACCACAGAAAGACATACTGCACATCTGTAAAAATGGCTATTTAAAAGAAAACAAATGATGGTGAAGGGTGTGTAACTCATATGCTGTTTGAGGCAGTACAAATTAATTACCTTGTAAAATGGTTTGGCAGTTTCTCGGAGATAAACATACACCTACAATATGATTCAGCCATTCTACTCATATATTTCCCCAAATGAAATAAAAGAGTAAGTCTATACGAACACTTATTTACATATTTTATAGCCACTATATTTGCAATAGCCAAAAAAACCCTCTGAAAAACAAAACAAAACAAATGTTCATTAACCAATAAGCTGGTATATCCATACAATGGAATACTACTCTGCAATTTGAAGGAAAAAACTATTGATACTACTAATAAAATGTTTGAATTTTTAAACAACTATGCTGAGAAAAATAATTAAAATTGAAAACAGTATATTCTGTATGATTCTTTGTAAAAGTTTAGGAATGTAAACTAATGTATATGGTCAGATAGCAGTTCAGAGGTTTTCGTGGAAGAATGGGGAAGGAAGGAGATTGGAGAAAGGCTGGGTAGAAATATTATAAAGGGGCACATAGAATGTTTGAGGGTAGTGGAAATGTTTGCTACCTCAATTGTTGCCATGGTTTATGGGTGTATAGTTAGAGCAGTGCATAAATTAAACACTTTAAATATGTGCAGTTTAGATGTTTCAATTATACCTTAATAAACTGTTTAAAATAAAGGGATTAATAAAGCTATGGAAAATCAAATCAGAACACTGAAGTAAGGTAATCATATGGACTTTTTCTGATTTGACAAACAAGAAAAGTTAATAATAAAGATAATACTATACTACACTACTTAAGAACAGGAACCTGGAGCCAGGCAGATCTGGGTTTCATTATACTTGTTGACTTCTATCGGCATATTTGTATTTGGGAACCTAATATTTTTCTCCTAATCTCTTTTTCTTAAACAGTAAAATTGGATTATAGCAAGAATTTTTAATTGTTACTGGAATGGAACCAGCCACCTAACTGGGACTGGCACAATTCAGGAAATTTGAATGCATAAAAAGTTCTAGCAAAAATGATTGTATTTGTAAAACATTGTATTTCACGACTTATTCTGGCTTATGAAAAATTCAAGATGTTAGGTCAATGAACTATTATAACAGAGCTAGCCAAGGCTTTATCTGACTGACTGTAAGCAATTGAGTTTATTAAAGGAAAGTTAACAAATAATCCAAAAATTACAGAAATTTATATAGTTAACTGAAAAGGAAAGAAGAAGAATAAAGTAAGCATCAAAAACATTTCTAAAATGCTCACTAACATTTTCTCTGTCTCATTTCTAAAACTAGTTGTATTTATTTCAAATCATCTAAAAATCTTTTTCTATCAGAATATCTGCTATGTGCCAGATTTTGTGATACACACTTGTGACACTACAGTAAATAAAACAAATTGTTTAAGTCCTCTTTTGCTTATGCATTTTTCAAAATAGTTATCTAGATGAACATTGCCCAAATTTCAACTTCAGTGCAAATATATTACCTATTTATTAAAAAATAAAAGTTTTGAGGACTTCCAATGGAAATTCTACTTCAATAGGTCTATGGTTACTTAGGGATACACCTTGGAAAAATCTGCAGATATATGTTAAGAGTTGTGTATATGGCATTTTAAAATAAACACTGTTATCTTTTGAGGAAGAGGTTATAAAGTTTTTAAATTGGCTTTAAAGGTAGCAATCTCAAATTATATGAGATACACATAACCAGATAAATTAATGAACAGCTGTTGTAGTATGATTGAGTTTAAAAATAAACCTTGTTGTATGCTGGCTTATGAACCCACATAACTCATTTAAAATGCTATAGACTAAAGGAAGAACTTCCATATAGCTTAGTTTTTATGATTATATTTTATAAATGATTGTTTTTAGTTGGAAACATGTATATGTTTACCATATCAAAGAAAAATAAAGTCTAGTATGGCCATTTGTTATTCTTGTCCTCTCTTTATGAGTAGTTTAAGCATTTTTTTTTTCCAAATTGAGTGGTTAATTAGTCCTCTATTTTTCCTTGTAAGCCTACGGTAGTATCTGGGAGAGTGTTTGCATCATATGCCAAAACTGGCCCTATTTCACATTTGCAACCCTAGGAGTACAGATAAGGGCCTGGGCAGATGTATGAATGAGTCATTCTATTACAGTCAGCTGCTCTGCTGTCCTTATTGGCAAATTTGTATCAACTAAAAATCCATAGGTCATCATTCAGAAGCCCAGTTGTCACATGTTTGAAAGCTCTGGTCTCCTGAAAGTATATAATGGGGAGGAAGAAGTAAAAATTCTCACTAGGATTCCAATTTGATACAACTTATTTTATCTATCTTTGGATTTATCTCAAAATCTACAGCAAACAAAGGGTATACTAAATAACCAATCCATGTAAACTACATAGAGGAAAAAGAAGTAACATTTCCTCTCCCCTAAGACAGAAGTGGGTGAAAGTAAACAATATTTAAGTTCTTTTCATTGGTTTTGATAGCTAACCCCATCTTGCACAAGTGAACAGCCCTTAACAGTTTTGTAGTGCTACCATTGCCCCTATTTTTTAAGCTGAAAAATTATATAAGGACAGTCATATTAATATTTGAAAATGACTTACTGTTTTTCTAATATATATTATACATTTTATACGTTTATATACTCTGTCTCACATAAATGTACATATATATGTTTGTGTGTGTGTATAAGACAGACATTACAAATATATATATCATGTATGTAACTGTGGTTTGCAATTGTTTTTGTATCACTGGAAGGCAGATACTAGAATAAAGGGGAGAGCATTCCAGTAGAGAAGAATAGGTCTCCAGGGAAGGAAAGGTGGTCATGTCTTTTAGATTAAAGCTATTACATTTTCATAGCAGCTCATACACTAAATTAATTCCTATAAATGTTATTTATACATAGCATTGAAAGAAGGGAGATATAAATGTGGACTAAAGTATTCAATGAAATCTTCATAGAGAATAATGTAAATTACAGTTGTCCCTTGGATTGCACAGGAATTAGAGGTACTGACCTCACACACAGTCAAAATTAAATGTATAATATTTGATTCCCCAAGAAAACTTAACTGATGTTGACTGGAAGCCTTACTGGTAACATAACAGACTACTGCTGACTGGAAGCCTTACCAATAACATAACAGCCGATAAAGATATAAAGTCTAGTAACTATATATATTTGATGCATTCATGACACACATAAATTTTTCTGAATTTTTAAAAATATTTCTAGGCTAGGCAAAATTTTTATATGGTCACAAATTTACAAATTTTTTTCCAATGTATCACTGAAAAAAACTCATGAATAAGTGGACAAGCACAATTCAAACTGTATTGTTCAGGGTCAACTGTATACATATAATTTGAACACATTCATGTCTTAATTTTAGGTAGTACACATAGTTCACTCTTCTCGAAAATGGATTCGCTTTTAAATGCATATTCTTTTATTTAAAAACTTAGAAACGTATTAAAATTTACATTATGTTCTATATATTGATTCTGATAAAACTGTGAACTCCATTCAGCCTCTTCAAATATAAACAAGAGATATACAACATCCAGATTTTATTTTCCAATTAAGCATTTTATTTACTTTTGGAATTTGTTTAGTTTGTGGTGGACATATAAAAAAATTAAGTTTTGATTAAATTTTGACTGACAATACATTAGTAGAAATTTCTGTTAGAAACATTATTTTCTATCTGTACTAATTGGTACAAAAAAAATTAAGATTACATTTTGCATTAATAAAACTCTATACTCTTGGAAATAAAAACTGAACAGTGAATATTGTTTTAGGCCCTGCACGGTGGCTCTCACTTGTAATTCCAGCATTTGGGAGGCCAAGGCAAGCAGATCACTTGTGGTGAGGAATTTGAGACCAGCCTAAGTCAGGAGAATTACTTGAACCCAGGAGGCGGAGGTTTCAGGGAGCCAGGAGTATGCCACTGCACTCTAGCCAGGGTAACACAGCTAGACTCCATCTCAAAGAGAAAAAAATACACACACACACACACA